TTACTAGAGCGAATTTAAATGATCAGCGAGAGAGAATTTTAGGGCTTTGACTTCACCACAACCATTATATTATGGTTAATTATACTAACTCTGGGAATTTGACAATGATATTTTTCAAAAGAATTGAACTCAATACATTCGTTCAATTCGGGTTTTAAAGAAAGATGTTTTACAAGATTAGCTAACTATAACCTATCTACGGTTAGCGTAGACTATCCGCCTACCTACTCTACCTACTTTAATTACTTTGCAAATGAACCACCTTTCCTAAGCATAGATTATGAAAACATTTTTTTATAAAAAGCATTGGAATACCATTATATGACCTCTATTCTTATGGCCGGCAGGGCTCCGCCAGATACCGTCCAATAAGATAAGTTGAGAATAGAGAATAAACTATTACATCTAAGACAAGGAAATAACAGTTTATAATCTATTAAAGCATGAAAACCACTTGAGTTGTCTCAAGTGCTCAGAGTCATATAATCAAGAAAAATAGTCATACATTAAAATAATCCCTTTGTTAAAACAATCAAACCATAATAGTAGGTTGGGTTACATCAGTGCCCTAAGAGAGGAATTAGCTACTCATGACAAGGCTGGATATCATCTATGTTGAGTTCATTTCCATCATCATGGACAACACTTCTCTCTCAGGATCTTCACTTTCAAGGTTGTAGGAACCCTAAAAGCCACCACACCTTCAGCCTTCTGAATGACACCGTCAAAAGAGATTGAAATTTCGAACCCCTTCTATTAAGGCTTACGCCTTCTTTTATAGAAGAAAATAAGTATTTGGTGGGATTTTAGGTCTTCTAGCCCAACTGGGATGAGATATGGCTGGTAAAGAGAGCAATCCTGTAACTTTAATCTGACATGTCATGGAAGGCTTGAGCATTATAAACAAAGGCTCGAGCTTCATGGTTTAGGCTCGAGCTTAAGGAACAAGGCTCGAGCCTCTCTGAATGGATGCTCAAGTTTTAATAAATGGTGCTCGATCTTCACTTTGACACTTAGCCAATTTTCTTTAACTATATTCCGAAGCGTCTTTTTCTCCAACACTTAGAATATTTTTGGGGTTAAACTCTTTTAACATTGCTCGATCCAAGTTTCATGGGCTCGAGCACTAAGTACTAGGCTCGAGCATTTAGGACTCAAGGCTCGAGCCTCAAGTGATGGTGCTCGATCCTGGAGTTGAGACATGAGACCTGGGAGCATAGCCTTTCAATTAAATCAACTCTTTTATTTCCGACACCTCGTACTCGAACTTAAAGGTCAAGGCTCAAGCACCCTTGGTTAAGGCTCGAGCACCTTATGGTAAGGCTCGAGCACCAAGGTACAAGGCTCGAGCTTTTGGGCCTTGTTGACTTTTCTTCTTTTTTTTGTTGTGATGCTCGAGCCTTAACACTTGGGCTCGAGCTGTAGGGCTTGAATTTCTTCAAACTTCACCATTTAAGCTCTCTGCCTGCTTTGAATGACCAGCAACGACTCGGTAAGCTTCGATATCATCATAAAGTCCCGGTTTTAACCATTTTTCTAGGAAATTACCTACAAACACACATTAAACATAAATTAGTCTAATTATGGATAGAAGTATCACTTTAGGCCTTAACATATACGTATTTAGGAGCTCGGATATGCATATATTCAGCGTTCATCACGGGTCAGAAGTCCGAACGCGCGAAGTCCGAACACAGTCTGAGCGCAATCCTAGTGATCGGATTTCCCTTGACTTTGACTTTGAGTTTTTTTCATTGCTTTTCCAAGGTTTGACATCTATCAATCTCTAAAGCGCTAGAATTAATCATGTTTAATATCCAAAGTGTAAAAGTAAAGAATGAAACAAATTACGATTAGAACAGGAAACTAAAGATAAGCTAAGGTACTAACTAATGAAGATTAAGGGCTGAATAATGCATATTTCAGCATTTATCACACCCCCAAACTTACATATTGCTAGTCCCTTAGCAATGAAACAAAGTAAAAGCAATAACTATGAAAATTAAAAACTGGATAACTCCTTTTTCGTAGGGAACACGGTTGCATTTAGCATATGCAACAAGTCTTTTAAGAGCTAATTGAGTAAAAAAAAAGGAGGAGGCAAGTCGAAATAGGAAATTGTTGTCTACTCTTTAGAGTGAAAGCCGTCTTACTTAGTCAAATTTGCTGAAAATAATTTTATGTTGATACTTTTAGATTAAATATGATTTAGATAGTTGGTCAATGTGATTTGATTAAAATTTGATGAGGTTGGATTTCACACACACACACATGAACTTGCTAGGCAAATTTCTAAATCTTTATAAAAATTGCAAGTTGAATTTCATGTTATGATTGTATGCTTGAGAATTGATTTGATTGAATAATTTGTGATGTCTAAAAATTTTTTGTTTTTAAATTCTCTTAAATTCTTCAAAAAAAATTGGATCTCATGTATGCTTGAGATTCATGGAACTTGTTATCACATAATTTTTATTCAAATATCATAAAAATAAAAATAAAAATTTGTAAAATGAAAAAAAAAAAAAATCCAAAAAGATTTTCCTTTTAGTTTTTTATTAGGAATTTTCATTTTTGATTAGATGGGGATATCATGTGTGTGATTTTAAGCATGATTGATTATCTTTATTTTGTGGATGGAGCATGTGTTATCTTAGATACTTGTCTTTAGTTCCATTACTACTATATATCATGTTGTTGTGCTTCTTACTATATCTTATACATGGATGATATTTTTGTCTCTTTTCATGTCAATTCTCTCTTATTATTTCTTTTCCTTCCTTATTAAGCTTTATTTGTCAATTTGTAACAAAAAAGGGGAAAAATATGCATATTTGAGGGGGAGAGACTTAAGGGAGACACATATACATTGATATATTTATATTAATATATGTTTTTTTATCTTTCTTGATTAAGCTTCACGGGTAGCTTTATTGAGCTAATGTGCAAATTATAGGTTCAAGACGCTACAAGTGTTGAAGCTTCATGTAATTCAAGAAAAATTCTGCGTTTTATTTATTTGACAATCATTGTAATTTGCTTTTTCTACTTGGGTAGATTACATGTTTTTAGGGTTTTGTCACTAAATTGCCAAAGGGGGAGATTGTGAGATATATATATATTTTGGGAAGATTGTGAGATATATATATATTGTAATTGGCTAATTCTGTTATCGAAACAAGTCTGATTAAGTTGTAAAATTAATTTCATTCAAAATTTCAAGATTGAAGATCGGATGTGGATTTGAAGAATTTCAAGTGTTCATGCTCTAATATAGTCCAAGGTGATTAAAACAATGCTTTAGAAAGGTATGTCAGTGTGTGAGAACACTTGGGAAGTTTTAAAAGTTTGAAATTTTTAGGAAGTTTACATTCTGCCCATCTTAAACTGGTAGGAGAATATTCGAACAGGTTCAACTCGAACCGGTAGAAAAATCAAGGTGCAGGTTCAACTTTTGAAGCCTAGTAATTTTTCTATTCTATCCAATGGGAACCGGTCGCCAATCATGAAGGATTCTTCACTGCCCATCTTGAACCGGTAGCCAATTCCTGAACCGGTTCAAGGCTTCAAATTTACTTTGGTAACTTTAGTTTCCCAATCTGTTTCAATTCCTTTTTGGTCCAGACTTCCTTCTAAAAACCTATGCACGAATTTCACTTGGTTTCTAAGTATTCTTAGGTCTTCCAAACTACTGTTAATGCCTCTTTCATTTAACATTGAGGTATGACTTTGAGAAACGAAAATTCATTATTTTGAGAGATATTGTAAGAAAATCAAATTTGATTTTTCTGATTTTATTGTTGAGAGAACACACATAATTAAACACAAGAGTAATTTAGTTGTATTGTTCTCTATCTAATGGGAATTGAAGCATAATTGAAGATTCAGAGATTCCGAAAAGCAGATCTGTTTCTTTTACACAAAATTTAAATTTGAAGAAAAGTGGTGATGCGATCATACTTTAAAGGGGTCAAAGCATTCATGGAGTATTGTTTGATCTACCAGCAATCATTCTATAGAGATTAAGAGTAAGTCTAAGGTCGAGAGCTATTGGACAAGGGAGTTGTAAAGTCAGGGATTGTCAGCAATTGGTATTTGGTAGAGCGATAATATGTGAGCCTGAGTCAAAATTCAATATACTTTGCTTCAAACATAGTGGATCGTTTTACTCTAGACGATATAGTCCACTAGGTTTTTCCTAAAACGATTGGTTGATTTCCACTAATTGGGTTTTCCTTCTACAAAATCCTGGTATCATCTCTTAAAATTTTATATACTTTACTTGCACTTTATTTTTTATTTTTACTTTATGAATTTGATTTTAATTTTATTTTAATAAAATTAAAATTAAAATTAAATTAAATAAAAGAGCAAGTAAAACTTATTGACTATCCCTTTAAATTATTTTTAATACAAACTTTTATATCTTATTTCGGTGCACAATTCACCTCGTCATGAAAGCTCTCTTGATAGCTCCTTACTCGAAAGTAAACGAGTCAATACAAGAAGTGGGCTATAAAGTCGTATTCAAAGGGTAACATTAACCTGTCATTTGTCATTATGAGGTCCTCGCCATGTCACTGATGTTGCAAATTGTCTGGGACCTCTGGGTAAAGATGCCTCTTTCGAAACTTTCGAAGTGTACTACATTATCCAAGTATCTAGTTGTCATGAAAAAGATGTGAATATATCCTACCACAACTTCTCCTGTGTATTTATTTCTGCAACATGAATATCTGCTATACCACTTAATAACTGAACAAGTTCTTGTATATGACAATTAACTAAGTTAGGTTTACGGAAATTATAAGCTATTTTTTTTTAACTATGAGATTGTGAAGGATTATAGAGATGTTCTTTTCTTCTTTCTTTTGCCATCTTAATTTTTAGCAATTGTACCATATTACAACACCCCTTTACTAATGTTGTTACAGAGTAAGAAATGAGTAATGTTCAGGTTGCCTTCTGCAAGGTCTGCTTAAATTTGGTGCAAAACTTAATTGAGGTACAGCTTTAGTTGGAGCAGTTGTAATAATATTAGTATCATCTGAACAACATTACAAGAAGCTAAGGAAGAAAAGCATTACAATTGAGAAAAATGATTGAGCTATTGGGGCTCTTCACAAAAGATATGTTTATTATGGCACCATACAGATACATGTTGAACACCTAGTAACACTATTTTATATTGGAGGCAACCATGTGATTACAATTGGGCTTCTTACCCTGTGCACTCCATCTTTCCATATCAAAGATCCAGACTCAGGCGCTGTTTGCCGAGATTTTGTCATGAATGTAACCTTGTAAGACAGTTTCTGCTGCTTTCTGGTGAAATGAAGTTTTGCGGGCTCAACCGTCACGAAAGCACCTTTGAATGGCGAGACTACGACATGGTAATTTGAAATGGGGGACCCGACATTGGTGACAGTTCTGTGAAGGGTGATGACTGTGGTGTTTGTGTCTTCTGGGAACACGGTTGAGATGGCTGGGTAGTTCAAGTCCCCTGGATTGGCTAGAGAGTGTCGGCAAGACCTGTTGGAGAACTTACCAAAAACTTCCAGCTGTGCTGGAGTTAAGTTTTGGGTGCACAGGAATTCGAAGTAATCTTGTGCCTGGATGTCGTAAATCAAACCCGGGTCGAGTGCTTTCAATGGGCTTATGTGCCCTGCACCGTGGTCATATGGGGTCGAAGGTGTACCTGTTGAGGCATCTTTCAGTGGCTTATAGCTGTTGTCGTGAACGTAAGCTGTTGTCATCAATGCGGATTTTATTGCTGCCGGACTCCATTCTGGGTGCCTGCTCTTTAGCAATGCAGCAATTCCACTCACATGTGGGCAGGACATCGAAGTCCCGGACAATATATTGAAATTCACTCTCCGGTGATCCGTTTGCAAACTCGATGGACCCAAATCACCAGTCCAAGCTGCAAGAATGTTCACTCCTGGTGCCACCAGATCTGGCTTCAAAATCTCCAACGTGAGGAGATTAGGTCCTCTGGATGAAAATGCTGCCACCACCGGAGACGGTCGAATTCCCAACCTAGTTCCAGAAAATGCAAGAGTTGCTGTTGCTTTTGCATTTGTCATGGCATAATGCTTGATTGCTTTGCCTTCTGTTTCTCCGACAGCGACTGCCGGAAGAAGGTGGCAATCCGCAACCAGCTCCTCTCCATTGGCGTCAGTGTTTGACAAAATCATGCCTACTCCACCCGCATCTTTCACCACCTGACCCTTTTGAACTCGAGGACTAATGCCACGGTCGCAGATCACAATCTTGCCAGCAACAACGTGTGGATCCAAGGTTCCCTCCAAGCACAATGAATTTGGATCAATGCTGCTGGAATTACTCCCTGTATAAACCAGTGGATATTGCTTTTTCTTCGACAAGTTCATTCGGCCTTTGTAGAGTGAAACTCCAGCCATGGTTTTGCCAGTCCCCAGCTTAACCGTAGCTGGAAAATCTCTATCCATTGTGCTGGCTCCAACCGTGGTAATCCATGGCGATACATTTGTAAGGCTGATTGGATCAGGGCCACCATTTCCAGCCGAGCAGGAAACAAACACTCCCTTCTCCATTGCTCCAAAAGCCGCTATGGCCAAACTGTCACGATAGTAAGATGAAACTCCACCACCCAAAGAGATGGACAAGACATTGACACCATCGGCGACAGCTTGATCAACGGCAGAGAGTATGTCTGAGCTAAAACACCCACCAACCCAGCAAACCTTATAAGCTGCAATTCTTGCACCAGGGGCCATCCCTCGGGCAGTGCCATAAGCATAGCCCAAAAGGTTCGCATTGCGAACCGGAGCGCCGGCTACGGTTGCTGCAGTATGAGTGCCGTGGCCGTCTTGGTCCCGAGGTGATTTGTACTCATCTTGCTCATTCATTCTACCCGTAGCAGCCTCATACCCGTGGTAGAACACTCTGGCACCAACAATTTTTTTGTTGCAGTGGTGTGTAGCGAATGCTCGGCCCGACTCACACGCGCCTTTCCAGTGAGTTGGAACTGGTGCCATGCCGGTGTCGTTGAAGCTTTGGCTCTCTGGCCAAATCCCTGTATCGAGCACACCCACTACGACATTGTGGTTGGATAGTTTATCGGACCAAACGGTTGTGCTGTCATCATGATCAAGCCCAAGAAAAATTGGACTTCTCGTGGTGTGCAGTTTGTATGAAGTCTCTGGAAATATGGCCATCACACCATGTTGTTGCTCGAGCGTCTCCGATTCTTCTTGGCTTAGTCGAGCTGCAACACCATGGAAGACAGTCTGGTAATTATAAATTATCCTTTCTTCATGTTCGGCAACTTCTTCCTTTTCTGGTTTAGAGACTACTGATTTGATCGTCGATGCGTACCATTCAACATGGTCAGAGAACGTCTCTGGCATAGCTGATTTATCCATTTGGACAATGTAAGTTTTTTTTGTGAATGCGGTGTTTGCAGAGTTGACGAGGTTGAGAAACAGATAGCTTGTTAGAAAGAGAAGCATCCACTTGACTGGAATTCCAGTCATTTTTTGGGTGGGAAAGGAAGAGAGAACTGAAGATGAAGAAGATGAGGATGCAAATGAGAAGTGTATTTTGGGCTGGTTTTCAAGACTTGGCATCAGAGAGGAGGGACCTTTAATCTGTCCTCTTGTGCAGGTAATAAAGATGGTGGTTGTCTCATGAATGTATCAGTTAGATTTGAGAGAGTACCTTGGGTAGTTTACTCCAGCAGTAATTAAGGCAGTGGTGGTGCAAGTTACTGGTTATGGTCATAGTATGCCATTCAAATTCCGTGGCCTATGTTACATGGACTATGTTATATGAAGTCGAGTGCGAGCACATGTAGAGTTCAAGCATTGAACGTGCCAGATCTTCAAAGAAAATAGACAATGGTAAAAGTAATTTCTTTATGTAAGCATTCAATATGGTTATTTCACTTATTTAAAGTGCACGTTCAATCAAAAGAGTCCTAAGCATTTTGTGTGTCGAGTACAAATACTTTACCTTACCTGCTTTCGAAGACTTCATGTAGCATAGCCAGTGGCCGTAACCATAGCAGATCACCGTCTAGTGGGTCCCAGAGTGCTTAATCAACGGTGGTGAGATGGGTTTCCATGTTGTAAAGATAGTGTGTTACTGTATCTAAATTCATGGGTGCCGGTACAAAGTTGTGATCCAAATACAGAGTTTCTTAAATGCCAATGAGGTGTTTGGTACATGGGAGCTAGCTGTTCATGTGGACCTCTAGTTCACAAGATGCATGTACTCGATCTCCGAGCACCGGTTGATTATGTTATTGAGAAACTTTATGAATACGCCTCGGAATTGGGTTAGCCAAAAAAACAAAAAAAACCTTCCTGCATTGTGTTTATTTATGATTTTGTTTGTTAATTATGGTTGTGTTTGCTTCAATTGAATAATATTGGGATGAATAATATAAATAGTCGGTATAACTGCCGACTAATCACTGCGTGGCACTTTCATATGATGGGCCCTATGTAGGTATTGGAGTATTTGGTTACCCCAACGCCACAAATCGATGGTAGGAGTCGTCGGATAAGAGTGTATGAGTTTGGGAGAAATTCTTATATGGATCGGGCACTTTCATATGGCGGGGCCCATGCAGGCTAGGGAAAAAATTTTATATAGTCCGGGCACTTTCATATTGTGGGGCCCATGCAGGCCTCCGATTGTCACAAATGAATAGTAAGAGTCAGTTCAGATAAGACAGTGTGAGATAGGGAAAAAATTTTACATGATTCAAGAAAACATAATTACATGCAATTATGTATGTGATCATTTTTTGAGTTCGCCCTTGTGCTGCCAATTTTTTGGTGTTCGGTACATGGGAGCTAGCTGTTCATGTGGACCTCTTGCTCACAAGATGCATATACCCAATCTCTGAGTTGGGTTAGCGAAAAAAAAACTTCCTGCATTGTATTTATTTATGATTTTGTTTGTTAATTATGGTTCTGTTTGCTTCAATTGAGTGGTATTGGGATGAATAAAATAAATTGTCGTATGACCGCAGACTACTCACAGTGACTTGCTTCACACTTTCATATGGTGGGGCCTCTGTAGGCCATGGAGTATTCGGTTACCCGACGATCACAAATGAATGGTAGGAGTCGTCCGGGTAAGAGTGAGTTAAATAAAAATTTTTATATGGTCCGAGCACTTTCATATGGTGGGGCTCATGTAGGCTTTGGAGTATTCGGTTACCCGACTGTCACAAATGAATGGCACGAGTCGTTCAGATAAGACCGTGTGTAAGTTAGGGAGAAATTTTTACATGATCCGAGAAAACAAAGTTACATGCAATTATGTATGCAATAATTTTTTGAGTTCGTCTTGTGTGATTGGTCTCCTGTGAATGGCTGGGACAATGCAATAATTTCTCGGGTTTATATACGAATCTCACTCTCCACTTGTAGCTGTGCCACTAGTATGCATAGTTGAGATGAGTGAGACTGGCACATCTGCCTATTTCTTGAAAACTGGCAGGCACTTATTTCCTTCATTGAGGATAAGCTCCAATATGGTACCATAAGTTTCTGCATTCTTTTAGTTCTTCAAAGTACAAGACTAATTGTAACTCTTCAATGTCATTTACTACTGATTGATTTGAGTCTGGAAATTAAATGAGAAATTTATGAATGGTTGAGGCTTTATTAAAGCTAGTTTGTTAACTGTTGAGCAAACGATTCAAAATTTGTCCAGATTTGTAATCAATTTTTGTTTCTATCAATTACTCTTTAGCTCGAGTTTGAGTTTCAAATTGGTTAGATCAGTGTGTTTATGGACATGAAATGCTCTTGCTGTTGTTTTCACATAATGAATTGTGAGTGGCTTGATTCCCTTTAGGTTCTGATACCATTGAAAAATATATACCATTTTTCCATTTCTTTTAGGGAAAAGATTTTTAAAGCCTTGAGACATTAAAGATCAAGTAGTGTTTGGGGCAATGGTGTGTTGACACATAAGCAAATATGTCGATTTTACATCAATATTTTGATGCATTTGTGTGGGAAACTAGAGTCTCACACAAATGGATCAAGCGGACAAAACATACTCAAACATACTCACTCTATTGTTTGTTTGGTTGATTTGACCATTGGATTGTATGGTTGTTCTTAAGCCGCAAAATCCTTTTTTAGTTGTAGAAAAATCTTTTCTTTAAGGGATGTACAATTTTTTGTTTTGGTTCTCTTATTGATGTGATTTTGCATTATATGATTCGATTCATCCAAATGTATGATGGCTTTTGTTAAGGAATGCTAATGCACCTTGATTTACTTCATCTTATAATTACTAGCTTTTGAAGCATTGGAAAGTAAAAGTTCAGACTTCTTTTCACACTCTCAAAAGGGGTTATTTATTTATGTATATATGTTTTTTTTTGGGCAAGCGTATTTCAAAATTTTATGACACTAAGTGCTTGTTTAAAAATGTTATAATATTATTTTTCTGATATTGGTATTTAAAATTGAGCCCATATCATATTTGAAACGATTAATATTGGTTTAGAATAGTTCATAACATATTAGATTTTTTGGCCAAAATTCATATCACCAAATTGATAATATTGTGTGTTTTGATACTGTAGCGGAGGAATTAAAACAAATTTTTGAATTTCCAAAACAAATTTTCGTTACTAAATATGGTTTCAATTTCTACCCGAAACACTCCTACAAAAAAACAGTTGGTTTGATATTGACAAGAAACATAACGCCTAAAACACATCGCATGCCAAACAGGCCCTAAGTGCCGATTTGGCAATCGTTTCTGATTCGTATTTTGTGCTTTTGCTAGTGTACTATAGTGAATCAAAAATACGAAACATGTTTAGTAACATTTGTTGTCATTTGAATAGTACCAAAATGCTTCCGAAAGAAATGCCAAAATCGGAAGCATAAAATTAATGTTTTTGGTTGCTTCGCACTGTAACAAAAAAATATTTTTTTATCAAACATGCTTTCATATTTTTGCTTTTAAAAGTCTTACAACAAATTTACATTACCAAACAAGATTCGAAATAGTGTTGAACAAATTCTAAAGTAGAAATATTATTTCTATTTCGAGTCAAAGTTAAAGCACAAAGTAAAATCTATTGTTGAATGGACCTAAATAAGTTATATACTAGTATGGATTACGGTAGAGAGAAAATGAAACCAAAACAAAAAATGTGATTCAAATTTTTGTGAGAAAGGTGAAGAGAGAATACAATTTATTTCAAGCATCATTAATATAACATTGAGTATAAAACAGTGATAAAATTGAGTATAAAACATCATATATATATATATATATATAAAGGAAATTAGAAATAATATTTACATTCCACTCTCAAACCTATTTTTATAAACAGAATGATGTAATTGTTCATAAAAAAAACATATCTAAAAATTTTATTACAAAAAGTATTACTGCACTTCAGTTCTTGTCATTTCTTTTATTTACAAACTTGTGAATTACAAATGAACAAAAAAAAAATACTATAATTGCAAAACTGATTTTCCAATATCATGTCATGCACAAATACATTGAGGGATAAGAAAAATTGCTTCATAAAAAATAATTTTTGCAACCATAAAAAAGATAAAAATAAAAATAAAAATCAATATTTGTTTCTATGAATTACTCTTTAGCTCAAGTTTGAGTTTCAAATTGGTTAGATCAGTGTGTTTATGGACATGAAATCCTCTTGCTGTTGTTTTCACATAATGAATTGTGAGGGGCTTGATTCCCTATAGGTTCTGATACCATTGAAAAATATGTACCATTTTTCCATTTCTTTTAGGGAAAAGATTTTTAAAGCCTAGAGACATTAAAGACCAAGTAGTGTTCCGGGCTATGGTGTGCGGACATATAAACAAGTATGTCGATTTTATATCAATATCAATCACTTGTTATTTATATGTCAACATGCGATTTGCGGATCAATAATCCAGAACTACTTAATAATTTTTTCAAATACACAATATTTTGATGCCTGTGTGGGACCTACTAGAGTTTCACACAAATGGATCAGGCGGACAAAACATACTCAAACATACTCACTCTATTGTTTGTTTGGTTGATTTGACCATTGGATTGTTTGGTTGTTCTTAAGTAGCAAAATCCTTTTTTAGTTGTAGAAAAATCTTTTCTTTAAGGGATGTACAATTTTTTGTTTTGGTTCTCTTATTGATGTGATTTTGCATTATATGATTCGATTCATCCAAATGTACATGATGGCTTTTGTTAAGGAATGCTAATGCACCTTGATTTACTTCATCTTATAATTGCAAGCTTTTGAAGCATTGGAAAGGAAAAGTTCAGACTTCTTTTCACGCACTCTCAAAAGGGGTCATTTATTTATGTATATATGTTTTTTTTGAGCAAGCGTATTTCAAAATTTGATGACATTAAGGACCTATTTAGAAAGTGTTATAATATTATTTTTTTAATATTGGTATTTAAATTTGAGTTCATATCATATTTGGAACAATTAATATTTGTTTAGAATAATTCATAACATATTAGATTTTTTGGTCAAAATTCATATCACCAAATTAGAGATATTGTGTGTTTCGATACTGTAGCGGAGGAACTAAAGCAAATTTTTGAATTCCCCAAAACAAATTTTCGTTACTAAATATGATTTCGATTTCTACCCAAAATACTCTTACAAAAAAAACGATTGTTTTGATATTGACAAAAAAAACATAAAACTTAAAACACATCGCATACCAAACGGCAAATCGTTTCTGCT